GTGTGCGAGGGTTACTCGTTGTGTGACATACTTTAATTATGTAAAAGTAATTATTTATGCGATATATTTTATTTATGAGGTATATACAAGTTTTGTTTATGTAAGGTATACAAACAATGTCTATGTGGTGAAGTGTGAGTTGTATGTTGGTAATTGCTGCATTGTTAGGGTTGTTCCTAAATAAACAAAGCGTTTCTTTATCATCTATTGTGCTCATACTTAATAATCGCATCTTGGATCTCACTAATGGTCTTAATGACTTTTTAGAAAAATCCGTAAAGAAGCAAAGAATCAACTGCTGTGTCTAGAAGGTTGATTTGAGATGCCATCATGGGGTCTTGTCTTTATATTCTTTAAATTTAAATTATATATATATGTGTCATAGTTTTGTGATTAATAACACATTTTGTAAATAACACAGTTTGTAGAAAAAGTATAAGTATGAATTCAATTAAATGAAAATAAAATATTAATGTTAAATTTTTTATTCAAAGTTTGTGTGAGTCAATGCGAATATGAATACGATAAGAAAATAAACAGGTCAACTCGACATGACACAATTAATTAATTGAGTTGAGTTAAGTTTAATTAATATTCGACACAAACTCACAATGGCTCAATAAGAATCTGATACAATATGGCTCGATTGTCAACCCCTAATCTTAGCCAACAAAAAAAAAAAAATTATTTTTATTTTTCATCAATCCTACCAAACACCTAAAAAAAAAATAAATTATCATCCATACTTTCCTTAAAGATAAAAAATATATCCCCTAATTTCCATCGCTCCCTGTTTCCGCCCATCCTGCCAATCGGTGCACGAATGTAAACTCTCGCTGTGCAGCTGAAAGTTATTTCCCTTAGTCAGTTACAACCTAAAAATGCCTCTATNGGGGGGGGGGGGGGGGGTGTGTGCGAGGGTTACTCGTTGTGTGACATACTTTAATTATGTAAAAGTAATTATTTATGCGATATATTTTATTTATGAGGTATATACAAGTTTTGTTTATGTAAGGTATACAAACAATGTCTATGTGGTGAAGTGTGAGTTGTATGTTGGTAATTGCTGCATTGTTAGGGTTGTTTCTAAATAAACAAAGTGTTGCTTTATCATCTATTGTGCTCATACTTAATAATCGCATCTTGGATCTCACTAATGGTCTTAATGACTTTTTAGAAAAATCCGTAAAAAATCAAAGAATCAACTGTTGTGTCTAGAAGGTTGATTTGAGATGCCATCATGGGGTCTTGTCTTTATATTCTTTAAATTTAAATTGTATATATATGTCATAGTTTTGTGAATAATAACACATTTTGTAAATAACACAGTTTGTAGAAAAAGTATAAGTATGAATTCAATTAAATGAAAATAGAATATTAATATTAAATTTTTTATTCAAAGTTTGTGTGAGTCAATGCGAATATGAATACGATACGAAAATAAACATATCAACTCGACATGACACAATTAATTAATTGAGTTGAGTTAAGTTTAATTAATATTCGACATGAACTCACAATAACTCAATACGAATCTGATACAATATGACTCGATTGTCAACCCCTAATCTTAGCCAACAAAAAAAAAATATTTTTATTTTTCATCAATCCTACCAAACACCTAAAAAAAAAAAAAATTATCATCCATACTTTCCTTAAAGATAAAAAATATATCCCCTAATTTCCATCGCTCCCTGTTTCCGGCCATCCTGCCAATCGGTGCACGAATGTAAACTCTCGCTGTGCAGCTGAAAGTTATTTCCCTTAGTCAGTTACAACCTAAAAATGCCTCTATTAACATTAATGTTACACCGATCAAATTTTAAGATTAAATTAAGAGTTCAAATGACATGACAGTATATTATTTGAAATTTTTATTAGAGTTTAAATGATATAATACCAAATAAAAAAGTCAAATAAAAAAATCGAAGTGACTTTATTAAAGTCTAAATAACGTGACACAAAAAAAAAGAAACACAAGTCAACTACGAGAGCAATATCAGAGTGTGTTATCAGCAGGTTTCAGAATCAATTTCGACGGTAGGCGACGACGACGACGAATATTTTTGTGGCCAGCGGTGCTGAAAAAACTGGTACTGATGTTGAACCCAAGATTGTGATCCTCACGTCGACGACTGTGCTGAAAACAATTATTGCGATCCCTTCTCTGCATATGGCGACACCACTCACTTCCCTTCGTCCTCACCCCCATTCACTTCCTTATCGGTAGACATTCCTATATATATATGTAATATATCCGAATGTTATCAATTGAGTATTTATGGAAAATTTGCTTTTTGTTGGTTAATTTTCATTTGGATATTATTTCTTGATGTTTTTTGGGAAGCGGTTTGTGTGACTTGTTGCGGGCATATGATGTTGCTTTTTTATTTGATCTATTTTTTTTACGTACAAAAGCCTATATGATTTTACAATGTGCAATATTGAATTTCATGAAGAACCCACTTAATCTTGCCAGTCCCTATTAGTACATGGGTATGAGTATCATACGTGTTGTTTTTATGTGCAGGCTGGTGTTGAAGAGGCAAGAGGCTAGAAGATTTAAGTTGATGTGCTGTTTTTGGCAGTGGACAACCTACTGCTGCAAATTATTTGCTGGCTAATGCTTAGAAATTAGGAAAAAAAATGCTTAGAAATACTTGTATGATGTGTATATTCTCTNTACATGGGTATGAGTATCATACGTGTTGTTTTTATGTGCAGGCTGGTGTTGAAGATGCAAGAGGCTAGAAGATTTAAGTTGATGTGCTGTTTTTGGCAGTAGACAACCTACTGCTGCAAATTATTTGCTGGCTAATTCTTAGAAATTAGGAAAAAAAATGCTTAGAAATACTTGTATGATGTGTATATTCTCTATGTTCCGTAATATATTCTGGAAATTTTACTTTGTTGGCTTGTTTGATAAGAAGTGTTAGACCTCTATAGCAAGTTGCTTTCTCTAAGTTCTAATTTTTCTTAATCAATTTTCTTCTTCTTTCTTTATAGTTTTATTCCTGGTATTAGTGGCTTTCTAAATTCTCTATTTTACAATCCTGTACATCATAATTTAATGTTTAAATTGAGACATTTTATCAAAAGGATAAACAAGACATAGTATTAATCTTAATGAGTAAATGATGAATGGGTTGTGCTTCTATTCATTGAATATTTGCCATTAAATGGAGAACATTTAGTTGATGCTATATGTTTTGATAGATTTTAGTGAGCTATTTTTGGTCAACTCAAAAAACACTTCAAAAGTTGAAGTAAAGAAATGCGGAGCATGGATCAACCCTCGAAGTTTGGCGCCTTGTTTGTGTTAATTGTAATTTCCAAAAAACATTGCTACCTTTTTGACATATCCCGCAATCAAGATTGTCAAGCTTTCATGCTTTGTTTCAGGTAACAACTTGAGTACATTTGCAGTACTTAGGGCACGTTTGGAATGACTTATGAAATTCAAAAAATACTTTTTAAATAAATATTTATCAAAAATGTTTATAAGAAAAACACTTTTATTAAATAAATATTGTTTGAATATTCAAAATTTAAAGTACTTAAATTAATGTATTGAGATTAACAAAAATAGGTAAAATGCATAAAATCCAATCTTTGAGGGGGTAAAAAATAAATATTCTTAATTCTCTCTCTATGATATCACGAGTCAAACCACCGTTCACTCTCTCCCCTCTCGACGATATGGAAGACAAACAAAGACAGCCATAGACAAACCTCACTCACTCAACTCACACACTGAAGACTGAAATGGAAGATCCATCGAATCTGAGCTCACAGCAAACAAATCCAACGGCGTCGTTCAGGCCGAGTCACCGCCGGCGAGCTCACTCAGAGGTGAACTTCAGGCTATCGGAGGACCTAGATCTGGTGTCGGACCCCTTTGATGCGCCTTCGGAGAGTTTCGAAGAGATGGGATCGGAGGTCGATCTCTTCTCCACTTCATGGACATCGAGAAGCTTGGATCCAGCCTGAACGACGGCGTTTCGGGCAATGATAAGTAAAAATTTACCTTGTCGACGATAGTCGGAGAGATGGAAGAACACCGATGAGAGCTGGGAGATTTCTTTGATAGAGATGATCGGGCACGGGTAGAAGAAGTGTTTTTGTGAAAGTAAAAACCTTTTTTTTAACTTTTACTTATTAACTTAATTAAGTGATAAAATTACTTTTAACTTATTTAAAGTGTTTTAAATAAGTAAATCCAAACACTACTTTATTTTTGTTAAAATGCTTATAATAAGTAAAAGTCACAAAAACTTTTATTTAAGTCACGCCAAACACTCTCTTAATGACTAAATGAAAATAGGTATGAGCCACCTCTTCTTCCTAATTAAAGAAAAGGTTGAGATATGTCTTTTAATCTTTAATCTTCTTGTTAATGTTACGATTCAGAAAAATGGAAAAGTACTTGACAAATTATTTGTGTTTGATATTTTTAAAAATTTTCTCTATTTTTTTTTTACTCATTCACCGTTGGAAAAATGATTTTCTGGTTGCTTATTGTGTTACATAGGTTGTTATTGGTCGATGGTGATATGGAAGGTGGGGATGCTAATTATAATCTAAACTGATGATACATAAAAAAATTTCAAGTTTGAGCTCGGCCATTGAGGTCGGGAAGGGGGCTCAGCCAAGAAAGCTCGAGTTTTCAGGGAAGCTCAAGCTCAAAGGTTCAGACCTTGAGGGTCAAGGTCTACACCTCAACGAACATGATTAGAAACCAATTGGCAACCACTAAACATCTTCTCAACGGCAGTAAACGACAGTCTAAACGCAAGAACCTCAACCGCCTAAACCAACGCCTGAAATCAAGCAAAACATTACAAAAGAGATGCGAAGATCTCTCCCCAGACTCCATGGAACTAGGAATTAAACTATAAATACTATATAAAATCCTCACTTTGAGGCAAGCAATCGATATAGCCCTAAGAACTATGTAATCTCTTCATCATCTTTAATATAATTCCTAGGAGTAAGAGACTCCCTTGAAGAGTAGATTAGTCAAGCTCCCGAACTGGTGAACCACTATAAATCTTTTGAGCAATCTACTCTTTTAACGGGCAATAGCTTCATTTTTCTCGAGGCCCTTGTAGCTTAGATAAAACCCCATAACACACTAATTTTGCTCTGTTGCATTCTACACACCATCATATATCATAATATGTATTCTTAAAATTGGCATCATGTAAATAGTATGTCACCATCTATAAATTCTCCTCATAGGAAACTTGCCTATAATGTGGTATTTGAGTGCACTATTATAATGATTGTGATGTTGTGAGTGTACATAAACATGTGTTTATGGTATTTATGATGCATCCAATATGCTTTTTTAGTGTCTATGTATAGGTAGTTAGAAATTTGTAAAACTCAAGAAGAGTCATGGAAGCATATGTGTGTGTGCGTGCGCCTGTGCGTNTGTACATAAACATGTGTTTATGGTATTTATGATGCATCCAATATGCTTTTTTAGTGTCTATGTAGGTAGTTAGAAATTTGTAAAACTCAAGAAGAGTCATGGAAGCATATGTGTGTGTGCGTGCGCCTGTGCATGCGTGCTTTAAGTCTTCAAACTTTATGATGTATTTGCTTGTTTATTGTGCCTGTAAGGAAGCATTCATTTTTTTCCTTTTGGTTGCTAAAAAGCTAAATCAAATCTAGCAATAATTTAGGTGTGAACGAGAATGTGAGTGAGGAAGCAATATATATATATATTACAACATCTAGGTGAGATGNAGCAATAATTTAGGTGTGAACGAGAATGTGAGTGAGGAAGCAATATATATATATATATATATATTACAACGTCTAGGTGAGACGGAAATTAAATTGTTTAAAATAGTGGGGTATATACCAGGTGCTATTAAGATGTTTTTAATTTCTTATGCCTAGGGGTCATTTAGATGACATCACTGTGTTTGCGAATTTGAGAGTGTGAGTGACATTTTAAGTAATGTGAACACAATTGCTATTTCTTTCTTTGCAATTATGGTTCTCAACTACTGCAAAACACATGGGATTAGTCTGGCCAATGTAAAATACTATGATTTCAATCACAATAGGAAGTCTACACGATCTGCAATATAAAGTAAGAAAAAGATGAAGTCTAAAAAATAAGGAACTTTTGGTTCTACCCTTTAAGTGGTGAAGTTATGAGTGATATTCATATGGCCAAAATTTGATAGTATCAACCAAGTCATCAGTCCATACTCAACAATTTAAAAGTATTATTCCAAGGTGTAGCTCTTGCAACAAAATAAGTAATCCTGTTACTGTTGACAGATAACCTGCCTTCCCAAACAAGTATAATACCAAAATCAAACATCAACAACAAACCTTTATATACCTCGAAGCAGCAGCACAACCTATAGATTTGACAAAAAAAAAAATTGGAAATTCATAATGATGGGCATACTGTCCTATTCTTAATGGTTGTTTCTTAATGTTATGGTTTTAGTTTGTGGGACTGTGTTGTCAGTTGCTGATTGGGAATGAACCCACTCCTCAAGTCCAGGTTGTGAAATTTTCTCGAGGAATGTAGGATTGATTTTGCGAAAGATAAAAAGATTATGAGTGGATCTTTTTCAATTTTGATGGTTCTTTGTGCTTTATGGGTTAAGTTGTTTTGTTTGTTTATCTGTTTTAATATAGTTAGCAGACCCCCCAATAGTTGGGATAAAGCTCTGTAGAGCTGTATCAATTTTAAGATGGTATCCATAATTTCTACGGTATTTGGACAAGGGGAATGTGGGTGTTAAATTGTGTAGTTGTTAGGCATGGTAAATATTTCATGAGGAATTTGATATTAGTATATATTGTTCTGCTCTATGTGATAAAAATTGTGATATAAATGNTGGGATAAAGCTCTGTAGAGCTGTATCAATTTTAAGATGGTATCCATAATTTCTACGGTATTTGGACAAGGGGAATGTGGGTGTTAAATTGTGTAGTTGTTAGGCATGGTAAATATTTCATGAGGAATTTGATATTAGTAAATATTTTCTGTTCTATGTGATAAAAAGGTAAAGTTGCATGTTGTTCAAGAATTATGCTTTTTGCAAAACTGTAGTGAATTGTAAATTAGTTGAATGAATATTTTCGAAATGCTTGAAAATTTTGATTAAGAGTTTGGGTTTATTTGATTTAGCTTTGTTTGAGTTTATTCCTACTAATATGGATCTGCGACGACTGTTTTTGGACAGTTGATGGGATGATTGTGGATAGGAATACTGTTTTGAAACAAGAAGGTTTTGCCTTATTGTGGTTTTGCCTTATTGTTTTGATTTTTTGATTTTACTTATTATACTTATGGTTGGATTTCCTGTTTACTAATTTATACTTTTATCTTCATATAATGAATTTTTTTTGTTTTTTTTTTTATAAAAAAACATTAATTTCATTGAAACTTAAAAATTAGACCTAATTCACTGTCCTAATGAGGTGATAGTGACACGGTCCAATAGAATTATTGTAACTATAACGGTTAGACTTCTTCATTGGAACAGTNTTTTGTTTTTTTTTTATAAAAAAACATTAATTTCATTGAAACTTAAAAATTAGACCTAATTCACTATCTTAATGAGGTGATAGTGACACGGTTCAATAGAATTATTGTAACTATAACGGTTAGACTTCTTCATTGAAACAATATCATCTGACACATCATAAGGTTAACAATTAGATCAATTTTTTAAGTTTCAATAGCACTACTCAAAAAAAAAACCTGAAGCTTTTGGTGGAAGTGCGCCAATCTTTATTGTGTTTTTTGTTTGTCTTGGTCATGTTCTTTGTTAATCCAATATGATTTTGGGGCTTATTATTATTTTTTCACATGCTTATGTTTGCCATGTAAAAAGGTGTAGGTGGCATTTGGTGGTGTTCAAATGGTGGGCAATGCCTGATGGAATTTTAATTGTCTCTTTGTCATTCATTTAATGTTCTCTGTATCTACCTATAGCATATTTTTTTGATGGGTGGTTGCAAGGCCGAAAAACCATCTAAAAATTTGGAGCCTGCAGCTAGATCGGATATGTTTAGTAGTGGCTAACTTGATTATGAGGAATATTCTGGAGAAGATCTGCAAGACCTTGAACATAAGGAATGACTTCATTAGGTGAGGACTATATTGTCTCTATGCTGCTCATTGGGTCAGGTTCTTCCATTGAAGAAGCCACTTCTCATGCCTCCTTATGCCATACCTCTACTTCTGAAGTAATTCAAAATTTTTGCACTATATGTATCAGTATAATGACGGCCAATAGAGCTCTTTTTCTCCACTATTGTTCATACTTTTATATTCATAGTCTTGCTCAATGGCTCACGGTATAAGTTATCAGTGATAAGATAATTTAGGCAATTGGTCAAATAGGTGTTTTATGTTTTGTTTATTCTTAGAGTGACACGTCAAATAACGTTAAAATGTTTGTGTTAAAGTGCAGAATAGAAAGTGTTGTTTTTAGTTTTTGCATGATAGATATTTTTTAATTTTAGCTAAACAATCAAAAATTTATTTTCTACCCCCACCAACGAACACTATGAAAAATAAATATTTTTTTAGAGTCCATTTATAACTGATGAAGGAAGAAAGCGAGCTTACATGAACGGTTAATGTTATCTAAGTTTTAATGCGTGAATTAATGTCTTCAAAATTAGAATATATGAACACCCTAATTCCCACTATAGTATTATTAAAAAATAAATAAAAATTTATATATAGTGATAAATTTTGGCAATCCCGCTCTTAATTAACAACTTTGTATTAAAAGAAAACTCATCTTGAAAATATTTATTTTAAATAAATGTTTTTAAAATAAAAGTCTTACATGCGCCGCATACCGGCCCGCTACCATATAATATATACATAACCCAAAAAAAATATTTACAATTGTTGCTTATATGCCCAAAAGGGGGAAAACAAAAAA